TAGTGTATTCTTTCTTTTTCTTCTTTTTTCTTCCTTTTATGAGGCTCTTAGTGACTCTTGGAAGATAAGTGTGTTTGTCTTCCTCCTGTAAATTTTCTACTGATGATTTAATGAAAGTGTTATTGATCAAAAAAAAAAAAAATCATATAACAAAAAAAAATTCTGTTTTTTCCATTTGAAGAGTGTGACATGGAAGTAAGAGTTTTTCCCCAGATCTTTAGTCCCTGTGTCAGCTTTCCAGAGCTTACACCTTGTTGCAAAAACTTCCATATATTTTCCTTTTGATCAATTACAAACAACCAGATTCAAATTGTAGTACAATAGCAACTTCCTGACAAAGTAAAAACAAGACAAAAGTCTAGACCTAGAGATCACCCATACATGTGATAAAGAACCATCCTGACATATCAACTTCCAATACAAGATTTTCCTGGCGAAACCTCCCCTGTCCAGACTATCAGCAAGTGAGTTGTCAGAACTGGAATTCATTTGAACAGGATGGCCACTCTGAAATCTGAATAGTGGGGCTTTCACTGTTCTGATTGTATGTGACAAACCACTTAATATCTATTCTCCAGCCATAAAGTCATGGAACCTTGTATTTTCCTTCTAGGTTTGTCAATATGGAGATTAGAATACAATTTGTTTCTTCAAGGCATTGGTGTTTATTTTCTGTGTGAAGACATTCATCCATTTCAGCCATTAGTCTTGTAACAATGAATAAATGTATCAGAGTGAACAAGACTTGTTTAAGGAATAAATGTATCAGGGATTGGGAGCAGAGTAGCTTCTCCTTTAACCAAAAATTGCTGTGGTCCATAATTGCACTTAGCATTCTAGGTGATGGTACCCCAAAGGGCTATGTGGGTTTGGGCAATAGCTGTTTTCCTTAGTAAAATTTGTTTATGCCAAGCCATTACATGATAATTTCTAGTTGGCTTTGTGCAGGGTAGCCAGTTTCCCAATAAAAAATATTGGGTTGGTCTATTAGGGCTTCATTTCTGGCATGATTTTTCCTGTTGTGCTTTTATGCAATGTTATTTGTAATTGTATTATAAATCATACTTTGTAAGGGATTTGTATTGATTTGTATCACGAACTGTAAGATCTTTTTTTTTTCTGATTTTTAAAAATTGTCAAAAAATGTAAAAATATTTACTAAAAACTCTTAATAATAGAAGAATGGCTTTGCACCGGCTTTCATTCTATGGAGATCATATAGTTATGTATTAATGGCAATTGCATCACTTGTATGCTATAACTGGAATTCAATATATAGTATGATCAAATTCAACTACAAGTTAAAGTTATTGACATCACAAAGAACACAAAAATAAAGGACCTAACTGAAAGAAATATGACATTTGACAACTGACAACTTTATCAAAGGAGCAACTTTAATATTTTAAGAACTACAATTGTTATTGAAATCTGTACTGGTTGTATACATGAACTAAATAATTCAAGGTACATTAGTACAGAAAAATACAAATCACAGTTATAGACAATTTAAAACATTTAAAGTCTAAATTGAAAGGGGATCTCTTCTTGAAGGTCTTGATGCAAAGGCTCATGGAACTGAAAGCAGATTATTGTTTTTTTTGATGAATGAATGAAATTTATTAATCAGCAGAGGAGAATAGTACAATGTCCCAAGGAGAGGCACGAGTTGCAACCTCTCCTGGTTAGTTAAGTACAGCTTCCACTATATAATAACAACTTACAAAGTAGCACAAAAAAGGACCTTCCTGGATACCCCCTGTTTAGCGAGAGAATCAGCCATAGTATTAGCTGACCTACTTACCCATTTTACCTCAAATCTCATATTCCTAGTTAACCACTTTACTTTTTTGATGAGGTCTTTGTAGCCCCAAATGGTCCGGGTTAAAGCACCACCTTGTTACCACATGAGAGTCCCCATCAACTAGGAGATGCTTCACCCCAGGCTGGTTAGTGATTTGAATTCCTTGTACTGCAGCTAGTATTTCAGCCCTCGTAGAGTCCCCCACTCCCACCGGTCCTGAGAATAAGGAGATGATGTTTTTGTCCTTATTCCTCAAGACACCCCCAATACCTGATGGCCCAGGGTTACCTTGGCTGCTTCCATCAAAATTTAACTTGATGATACCTTCTGACGGCGGAACCCATTCTAATAAGCGTTTATTCTTCTTTGTAGGAGTATTAGCTATTACTAACCAATTCCTCCACAAGTCATCAAAAGAGAAATCATCGAATATCTCCAAGGTTTTCAGCCAATGTATTGCTCTTGTTAGAATGCAGTCCTTCACTTCGTCTAATCTTCTTTCCTTCTCTAAGAAAACTCTTGCATTCCTTTCCTCTCATAGAGTCCATAAGGTTGCTGCCCTGACTCATTTCCACATGAACTTGCCTCTTCTAGTGTGCCAAACAAAAAAAGAGGGGTTAAATAACATACTCAAATCAGTTGGT